TCTTCTGGGTTGTTGCACATTGTAGTCAGGTAGAAGTTAAACTTTTTAGAGGTGCTTGCTGCCTCTGAAGCATCAGTGAAGTTCTGCCAGACTACATGGTGCATTAACCTAAAAGAAGACAGCCATCTGTGTAATATGACATGTTAAAAAGGATTAGGGGAAAGCATTGGTGACAGACATATTGTCGATAACATTTATCATACTTAAGAAGGAAATGAGTAAGTAAAGAGTCTTAAAAATCTTTTAATATTTCATAAGACAATGCTCAAATAAATCATGGTAAGATAACTTATGTGAGAAAGTGAGCAAGGCACAGAAATTCTTTTGAAAGTATGATACTAGACGCTCTGCCTACGGAGAACAGGCTCTTAAAATTTATATGAGAATGTTATTAAAATTATATAAAAATGTTACTGTAACATTGTAAATCATTACAGACAGTTCTTGAATAATATGCCTTCTTTAGTATATGACATAAGTATTGAAATGCTGCTGACAGTTCTGTAATATAGCAGCCTGCTCTGTATAATATTAACAGTATGCAATTAAGAATTGTTTGATATGAAATTATTGAATAGCAGAAGTGAAATTGTTGCAGTTTAAAAAATTCAAAGACAGGACATTGATTAATATTACACTTCTTCTCTTGCCAGGTGAAAACTTAGTATGTACCGGGTCTTCAATTTATGCAGTAACGGCCATGCTTGCATTGCGTGCTCGGCCGGGTGCACTGTTGGTGTGGGAGAGAGAGAGCGTGTTCTTCCCGTGAGTCACAGGCAAATCAGTTTCATTGCGTCTCTCGTCGCGGATTGACGTTGATAATATGGTGTATAGTATTAAGCAACGTGTGTTCTTAGTTGAAACATATCCCAAATATTCATCCTGCGGAAGATGCCGCCGTAAATATTACAGACATTTTCCTGGTGAAAGTGTTCCTAGCAAGCCCATGATAGAGAGCTTAGTAAAAAAATTTCGTAGTACGGGATCAATTTTGGATAAAAAGAAGAACAGGAAACGACAATTCATTTCGGCAATATCCCAAGAAGAGCTTCGTCAAGTATTTAGAAATATGTTAACGAGATGTGAAGCTTGCCTGCAAGCACAAGGAAGTCACTTTGAACATCTTTTGTGATTTAAGGTAAGAATAGCAGAAGTGAAATTGTTGCAGTTTAAAAAATTAAAGGACAGGACATTGATTACTATTACATTTGTTCTCTTGCCAGGTGAATACTTAGTATGTAGTTCAATATTGAAAGGTGCTATATTGATGTATATAAACAGTAGTACAGTGTTAACAGTATGGTAAGTCCATTCTCTGTACTTTTATTGTCTTTTGTGCTCCATTTTCTTGTCTGTATGTGTTGTAATATTCTTATTAACTATACTAAATGAAAACTCACACTGATGACAAGAGATTTCAGTTATGGTAAGAAGTATAATACTTCTGCAATTCCGTATAGTCATTAACCAGTTTAATTGCTTATCTTCTATAAAAATATGTTAATATTTTAGGGGTTCCCATGGTGATTGCATTAATTGGAGCACAATTAGCAGAAAATAGAGATGATGTTCTGCGCAATTCTGGACGATGGGATTATTACCTTGATAAGCTAGTGAGGCGTGATTATGGGTATGTTAAACCTTTATTGTCACTAATCTAATTCTAGTTAATAACTCCAAAATGCATGTGAATTACTTTTCAGCGTATTTATTATGTCATGTTGAAGGATGTGTGTGTACAGTTGTGCTTCTTAGTATTACTGTATGTTGTATAATGTTTGTACACATTTGTTATTTAATTTTCAGTTTCTTTGTTAGGTGACAGTAAAATGCAGTTAAATTCCCAAGTGTGTATTAAGAGAGATCAAGCTGTCAACATTTATATTATTTTGACTAAAGTGGGTTCCCAAAATCATATCACATAATTTATTCTTCTTCTTATTCCTTGGCTCTACAACCCAGTTGTGGGTCTTCGCTACCTCCTTTCAGAGGTCTATTGATCTTTGAAGTGTGCATTTGTGAGTAGTGAGTGGCCAGCTTACTACCTCTGCACAGTTTCTATTCAATCCTGATTTGACTGCCAGAGCCATCTAGCAGTGAATCAGGAGAGACTTGGGTGAGAAATGGCCGCTGAATTTTCCTTACAAAACATCTTATTGATGCTCATAAGGTTCTTTTACATGCCGTAAATCTACGGTTTGGGATCGCTGGCTTTACTTCCCCTCCGATGGAAGTTGTGCTATGGATTTTTAATGCAAAAAAATGTTGAATTCCTGATAGATGTAACATACCACCATTAGAATCCTTTGAAGTTGTGTTGAAAATAAAAGTTTAATTTTATAGCAATTTCAAATCTTCATGTTTGTGTAATTTTCTGTTCCAGAAATTTAAATAAAAGTAGTGTTTCTCAAGAGAATGGCATAGCAGGTGCAATTGGACTTTGTATAGAAAACTTGCCAGAAGAAATGAAATGCTACTATCAGGACTTTGCTCTCTTTGTTGAGGATGTGAATATCAAACCAGAGGTTAAGTCATTATTCTTTAATGTATATACATTTGTTTATTGTCATTAACATGTAATTTTCAGGCTTTGCTTGTAGGACTGAATTTTGAACTTTTTTCCAGTGATTCAAAACCATTTTATATTTAAGTATATCAGGTGTGACAGAGACCATACAGATTTTCTTACTATGTTCTACTGCATTTCTTGTCATTAAGAGTTAAAATATGTATGAATAATTGCTGCTGCCTCTTGTTACAGTATTGTAGCTTATTTATTAACTACAATTTAAATTGCATTATAATAATTAAATCAATTTGAATTTTGGTTGTTTTGAATACAGTATACATTTTTTCCCAACTCTTAAAACACAAATTAGTGATCCATAAATATGGATTTATTTATGTTTGTTCATTTTATAAATTTACTTATTGCAGGTGCTGGGAACTCTTTGGTCACGAAATAAATATGAAGTAGAAGATATAATGAGTGAGTTTATTAAGAAATCGCTTGCAGTGTCCAAATGGAATGAGCTTTTAATATTTATGTATATGGGATACATGACTTACTTTTATACTACCTAAAACGTGATCTGTCAGATGAAGAAAAGAAGGTTTGTAATTACACTGGCACTTTTACATGTGTATTCTTAAATCTCTGAATTTGAATTGCTGTTTGAACTGAATAGCCGTGAATATGAGGAATAGACACATTGAAGGTAGGATTCAGCTCCACACCTTAATAAGCAGAAGGATTTTAAGGAAAAAAATATAACTTTACTGTATATATAATGTGGTTTTACTTTTTTTATTTATTTACATATTGCTTACTGGATTTAAATTCTGCATGCTACCCTATAATTCCAGGCATTTACTTAAGACTACAGAAACATTTTGCAATGCCTACACAAATAAAGTGGTATCATCACTCCCCTTTGGTTAATTGTGTGAAACTTGCAGGTGTTCAAGTTATGAACATAGTAAACTTATTACTCTTCGTGATAGCATGAAGTGTACAAGTGCATGAAAATGTTGCCACATGTATAGAGTGAAAAATACCAGAGACAACTATTCTTGAGTAACTGTACCCCCTCCCCTCAGTGTCTGTTCTTCCATCATATATGAAATGAGACTTACTACTACTACTACTACTACTACTATTACTACTATGGCATAACAGCCTAAAATCAAGCTAGAACTGTGACCTTGTTTATTCCTACCCATCACTTTCACACACAGAATCAACATAATTCACTGGGATGATACACTACAGACGTGTTTATAATTAATAATCTTCATTGATAGAAAGGGGATCTGGGGTAGCTGAGTCAGTATAGTGACTGATTATAGACTGGACAGCCAGGGTTTGATCCCCAACATGGACAAAGACCTCTGCATTCAGACTGGCTCTGGGACTCACCCAGCCTCCTGTCCAATGTGTACCGGGGTCCTTTCCTGAGGGCTACCAGAGCATGATACTGACTACCTGCCCCTATCTAGTGTCGAGATTAACAAGTGCCTACATGGTGTGTAGTGGGACATAAGAATGATAATAATACAAAAATAGAAGTTGCATATAAAAGTTGTAGCTGTGTTTGTGAACAAGCTCCATATCAACATTTGCAAATAAATATAAATGCTTATTTAAACATGGACTTTCATGCTTTTTCTCCAATTTCCTTTTTACTATTGATAATTATTTTCATAGCTATCATTCAACAATCAGTAATTAAATCAGTCGAAGCAGTATAATTTAAAATCAGTTTGTTATTAAGAAGGTAGATAATATTTCCATAAAACTAATTAATTACAGATGTATTATGGCCAGAGAACAATAATTTTAATTTGTTCATTAAATTTCTTCTATTCTACCTGAGCATTTGTGGGTATGTGATTGTATGTTGCAATTATATGATGTTTTTGCTTATTTTAGGACCTGCATAAGAAACTTCTGGAGTCTTACAGATCTATTTCTGGTGTAAACTTTTCAAATCTTCCAAATGACAACTACATCTACTCTTACATTGGCTACCATTTGCATGAAGCTCAGATGTGGTCTGAATTTCCAAAGCTGTACCTGGATCTTGAGTTTATTGGTGCTAAATTGAAAGTTACAGGTCCAGGAGATATTTTAGTGGATTTCAAGAAGTACAGTGCATTCATTGTTGGAGATGTAAGTAGAGAAATAGTTTGATCTTTGTGAGGTATATTGGGGAAGTATTTATCACAATACAGATATTTTCATCTAGGGTTGCTTGTGTTTGTCCCTAAAGTTTGGGACTGAAAAATGTAGTCCAACTGATATTACACAGTGATGATCCTGGCCACTATAAAAAATTGTTGCCTGCTGGCAGTAAGTTGAGAAAAGTTTGTAATAAATTCTGTGAAATATAAATTGAAGGGACATACTTTGTTTTGCACTTAAATGTATTTCATATCCATGTAAGCAATTAATATTATTATTTCAGTTGTGTACTTGATTACTTTTTATACTTGAAGTATTTTAGATCTCTTGTCAGATTTAACAAAGTTATTGTTATTTGTTGTTCCTTACCTGATCACTAGATCATTTGTAGATACAAAATCTTCAATGATTTAAGTCTAAAAGTCTGTATAGTTCTCTTATTGCCACCTAAAGCTATTCTGTCATGCTTATCTCTGCCACTGTGCAGCACCATTTCTCTACCTCAGCCACTTGGCTATTTTTATTGAATTATTTCTCTTATCATGGAGGCATATCATGCTTATTTTAAGTGTTCATTATTTTAGTGAAATATATTAAGTTGTCACACCCTTTAATGGAAATAGGAAAACAACACATCTCATCCTGATGTCTCAGACTGTCATCATTTACAGTTGACAGTGCGATTGTATTTAATTTGATGTTTTAATAAAGTTATGCAAATGTAAATTGGAAAGTGATGATTATAATAACAGCATTAAAATCCCTATATAGTCGACAGTATGATTGTTTATTGCACAGCTTGGATCATTATAAACCCTCTCGGCTCTTGTTTTACTATTGGAGGAACTTGGATAATTAAAGCATGTCAGTTTCCCTTTTCATTTGTATTTTAAGTTACAAATCAAAGAACTGGATGAGACAGTGTCATATTTGGTAGCTGGGAAAAACTGGTAACAAATTTAATAGATAAAGATGCTATCTTTCCAGGATGAACATCTCACATCGGTGCTACAAGACTTTGAACAGCGGCTTAGATTTACACGAGTACCAACATACAGATATTGTTCAGTGTGGATTGCAGGAACATAGAAATAGTCACGTTTACAAGAAAGCATTGAAGATAGCTAAGGAACGGACTAATTTAGTACTTAAAATCGCTGACTTGTTCCGTAGGTACGTTTGATATTAAAATTTTTGCTCTAACCACCTCTTTTTCCTACAAATTCAAGTTTCTTTGCGTGTGTGAAAGGGTTCCATGTCGAAGCAGGCAAGACTCTCCCCGCCATAAGCCGCTTCTAGCGGGGAGAGCTGCATAGTGGCTGATGAGCCGCTCGCACAGGTTCACCGCGGCTCTCGTCTGAAAGGGTCCAATGCGTTTCGCTGGGATTTCTATCTCTAGCAGTCACTTCAGCTCACGTGTGAAAGGGCTATGCCGGCCGGAGCTTCGGCTCATGGCAAAAGAAAATACATTTTATCTTGTTGTCTTGTAGCTTTCTTTCATGGATAACCATGCTTTTCAGTATTCAAGGTGGAAACTTAAAAGTAACAGCAAGAATCTGTCTTGCGTGGAATAGTAATTTAATTCTTCTTCTGCTGCATGGTTCTGTCAACTTGGCCATTTAGGTTGTGCTTGAGCTGACCACTTCTTTGAACTGTCCATTATAAGCAAATGTTCTGCCACTATTTATGCATGCCTACAAGTGCTACTCACATCCCATCCATAATTTGCTAAGCCTGCATACATGTGTGAGAATAAATGCACTGAATTGTACTGAACTTACAAAATAGAAATTGTGTATAAAGAAATACAGTCAAACCAACTTTTATATACATATGCTCTGTTAACAGGCTGGTTCTAAACACTATGATTGGAACACACATATAACAAATTGTTATTGTTATTTTTGTCTTTGTTTTTCAGAATGATAAATAATGTTGAGAAAGTCAACCCATGCCCTCTTCCTGTTTCATTCTTTGTCAAGTTAGGAACTTCACAGAGATGTATTCTTTCTTCTATGGTGCAACAGCCCGAAGTTGAGCCTTGACCTTCTTCCATGTGGGAGATTTCTGTGTTTTTGAAGTGTGTATTTATGAGTAGTGAGTGACAAGCCCACTGCCTCTGCACATTTCTACTCAATCCTGATTTTTCTGCTAGAGCCATCTAGTAGTGAATCAGGAGAGACTTGGGTGAGAAATTTCCGCTGAATTTTGCTTACGAAACATCTCGTTCATGCTCGTAAGGTTCTTTTACATGCTGTAAATCTATGACTAGGACCACCAGCTTTACTTCCCCTCCGAAGGAAGTTTGCTATGGATTTTTATCATCCTTGCTGGTTTTGAATCCGCAAATCTTGGGTCCAGTGGAGAGCATGCTAACCTCTAGTCCACCAAGGGCAACACAGAGATGTATTATTTCAAGCTTTATGTTCATGTATAAGAACTTTTGTTTAGCTGCAATAATTAGAGTTGAGTTGATTGCTTTGTAACTTAATGTGAAGGACAAGTATAGAAAATTGTCACCTCTCATTCACTCATCAAATAACATATTGAAACAAACTACATCAGTTTCTAAACATCTTTGTTGTAACGTGCAACCGAGATCACATTCCTGATACAGGTCTTCAGGTCATGAAGTCCGTTAACTGGTGTTCGGAGCACGTTGCTCTTGACATAACCCTACAGGAAAAAATCCAATGGTGTTATGTCTGGTGAACGTGGAGGCCAAGGCATTAGACCGTCTCTGGCGATCCATCAACATGCAATATGCATATCATCTCAAAGGATCAATGTAGATGGGTGGAAGAAAATGAAAATGGGTTTCCTTGTCATGCCAAAGGACATCATGTGATGGATATATTTCATTGGCACAATTTTGGAGGGTACAGCTTTTCTAACTTCAGTCCCCCAGTGGTCCATCAGTCTCTCCAGGCAGATGCTGGGGTGTTACCTTAAAACAAACTATTATCACTTCTTTCCAATCCACCATTTCCAGTCATCCTCTCATTTATAAGTAGTACAGTTATTTAGAGAAAGTGATAAATAAATGCTACTGTCTTTCTGGTTACAGGCATGATCAAGATAATATATCACAACCATACACTCTGTCATTGAAGGAAGAAGTGTTTGCAGCTTGTTTCACAGCAAAGAACAAAATCTTGGCTTCTAATGGCAATGGTACAATAAATGTAAGCTACACTGAGAATACTGTATATTCTTTACAGTTGCTTTTTTCTTCTTCAGATGTATTACAATGGTTACATAAAAGTATAAAGTACACCATTGAACCCTGCCCTGAAAAAAGTCTATTTCCCAGCATTACACAGTATTTTTCTCATTTATTGTAATGTCTTCCCTTTTATGCCTGGTACCCAAGTAGGCTGTTTTCATGAAATGTATCTTCTACACTCTTATTATTTACATGATAATTTCAAAAAGTTCAAGGACTGAAGCAAATGCATCAGTATTGTAGACAGGCACAACACACTACGGATGTTTAGACTAGTGGGTATGATAAGCCCCAAAGATGAGTTTAGTGCGTGGAAGGTTTAAAAGTGGGGAAATAGGTCAACTTGAACAGTGGGTTCAACATGAGATTTTGACAGAAGCTGGAAATAATTGGCATGTCATTGATTGTTTAGGTGGTTTACTGTGAACATTGTCCAAGGCCAAGGTGCTTGACTTATGTCACATATGATAGTTTTGAATCATTCACAGATGACCTGTACAGCAGGTGGCATGCAGTATTGCATAGTGTCCATGTCAGACAGGTGTAGGATGTTGTGCAGTCTCTTCTCAGACAGTAGGGAAAATTGCAGAGTAAATTAGAATCTTAGTAGTTGCCACTCATACTGAGTTAGGATCTGAAGATGCATTGCATCTGTCAACACATTTACCAAGAATACTAAAATAGGAACTATGTAATGATCGCATGGAATCAGTGATGAGCCCATCAGTGCAGCAGATAATGACTTGGACTTTCTCCAAAAGGAAATTAAACCCGATGTTTCCCTCATGATCGTAAAGGTAAAAATAATTATTTACATATAATTAATCAAAAACCACATGTTTGAGTAGGATTATTTGAAGGGGAAAGTGTGTTAAAAGTTATTTTCAACTGGTGGGGTATTATGCACTATGAGTTTATTTATGAGGTGCTGTGGTCAACAAGTAGGTGCTGAACCATTCACCTCTTCCTCCTCTGTCCTTAACCCTTAAAAGGGCATGGTGGTGCTTCATCCATCCACAGGAGGCAATTAATTTGAAGACTTTAAATGTGGGTGATCAGAAAGTGAATGCTTCAGCATAACAATGCACTGGCATATGGATCATTGCTTAAGCAGTGAGAGTTTGCCATGCATTATACCTCTTCATCTATGTTTCTCTTACAATTTGTAATTATCTCTTGTAAATGATAGGGCTTTGCCTTCAAGGATGCAGCAGGGGTTCAGGTAGCATTGAAGATCACATTTCAGAAAGTCACACATGGTATCTCAGAAATGTTTCACACATCTGTATTGACACTGGCTGAAGTGTTGAACTTCTGAAGGACAGCATTTTGAAGGCAACTGTTTGTAAGGGATTCTAAATACCATCAGATTTGATACATCGCTCCTGTACCTGAGTTTCTGAAGCTGCTGCATGTCTTGTTTGTCTGTTTGTGTACATAACTGACCCATATATTAAGTACAGTTATGTAGGCAGTAATTGATTAGTTCTAACAAAAGTTTTCTACATAATTTGTGACAGAAAATATTGTGTTTGTTTCTCCATGTACAATAATTGAAATGTCCATTTGATGTAACCCAAAAATGATTAGTTTCCCCTCTTATGTTGCTTGCTTCTTCCTGTTTTATAGCTGTGGGATAGAGAATTTGCTCATATCTCTACACTTTCCCAGGCCATAGACAAAGAATCCTGCGCCTGGAGTTGTCTCCAGATGGAACACTATTTTTGTCTTGCTCTGAAGATGCTACTGTAAAATTGTGGAAACTGGATGGTGCAATATGTAAGAACAAAGATCAAGAAGAATTTGATGAGCATGGTATGTTCTGACATCAAAATTAACATACTGAATGTTCTCAGAGTACTGAAGTAACCTGAGGACGAGGATGAAGCTGGTTCTTGAAACGTTGGTGTTTTCTCAATTCTGCCGCCTTACATGGCTGGTAGCCTGAGAAGAATTCACTAAATATTTAATTTTTGTCTAAAGTATATCAAACATTTAGTCTTCATAAGTTTGAATTTCTGTTCTTTTATCTCTGTACTCTGTGCCCTTGCCTCATTACTGTATTTTACAATTGGTTTGATCAGTATTTTGTACAATTTAAAATATTTTATACCAGGCTATAAGTGTGTCAGGTCAGTATATAAAGCTTCAGCCAAACTTGAATGCTAACCTTGCAAAGCTTGTGAATTCTGAGCTCAGACCAAAACATTGATCTTACGATATATCTTGAAGCCGTGAAACTGTTTAAAATTATGAGGATGAATGAGGACTGTATCCCAATGTTGGATGAGGGTGTGTGTTTTTACAGAAATTTTCTTCATTATGTTTTGAAAACAGAAGTTATAAAAAGTAAAATGAATAAAACAGTTTGACATTGTCTCAACATAAAGCATGTTAGTCATTCACTGTGAATATATCAGTTGAGAAATTGTCTTCACTGCTCATCTAGTTTGTCTCTTTCTTCATTTACAAGTGCAAAGGAACCAAATGTTTTTATAATGAAACTAAAAATAAAAAGTTGTCTTATTATAAATAGGTAAGTATATTCTGTTATTTGCTTTGAGGAACTGCGGAAAATAAATTTTAGTACTATAGTGAGTAAATGTTTGTATATCTTTTTGTAGCTACAGCTGCTCTGTTTTAAAATGCTGTAATAATAATTACAATTGTCATTTTCATTACAGGTTGTGCTCTGAAGACTCCATCTCCTCGTATAAGGCAGGACAGTTGGAGTAATATGTTTTGCAGTGATACTGGTGGTGACAGAAGTTACTTAACATTCAGTGGTCATCAGAGTGCCATACTGTATGCCACATTCTCCAGTGCTGGTGATGAGGTGGTGTCATGTTCTAGTGATGGCTGTGTTAAGGTATTCTTCTTCATAGCATGTCTAAATTATAGTATGTTCTTTGTTATTTTGCATACTCATTGATCTTGATGTTCTTTCTACAACAGGTGCAAATTTAGTATTGCAAAGTTTATCTACCTGCATACATTTCCTTGTTTATTGTTAAATATACAACATGAAAAGTGTTTCAAATAATTTTATGGTTTTAATGTGTCCTGTGATTTACAAGTTTGTCTTATACCAGTTTTTAAACAGTGATTTGTTTTTGAGCTAAATGAAAACTACTGATATCAATAAAATCACCAGATGTTAGAAAGATTGTGACAGTACAGTAGCACAATAGCGAATGATCCAGTAAGGAGAAAAGTATTAACCAGTGTTCTGATTCCATTTGTAAGTTCCAGTAAATTGGTTTGGCTGACAGAAATATATTTCAGTTAAACTTTTAAAAGTCAAGTAATGAATTGTGCAAGAAACTGCGCATTCTCATATCTTGTGTCCCAAATCCAGGGCGAAGTCATGCCTTAACAGGAATGGGTATGTACAGTCTGTAACATGGTACATGGTGAGGAATTTAAAGATATGAGTTTGGGGTAGCATCTAATGGCATGTATCAAATTTCTTCAGGATCTATCCAGCAGTTCTCGAGTAGAAACATGCAGACAGACATCAGCCCTGAGTTGGTTACTTCCTGCCATACCAGTCTGTAACTCTGTATTTTGCCCATGGAGTGTAATGTATTTTATATAATTATCAGAGTAAACAGAAGTTATTTCCTTAAATATTACTACTTTGAAAGTGATTTTAAATTATTTTTATGTTGCTTGGCTAATCTTTAACTTCTTCAGATTGCATTTTGTATGATATTTGGTTAAGCTGTAGCTTGTTCGAATTGTATAATAAAACCAACAGAGCTTATTAATTCAGATAATCTGTTCTTCTGAAATTTGTGGTTCATTGGTTGGTTGGTTCTGGTTAGGTGTGATTATGTTTAATAAATTTTTGTTATGTGTGTTAATTCTTTTTTCAGGTTTGGTACTGTGAGACTGGAATTGTAAGACTGACATTTCAAGTTCCTTCTCCAGGAAGATTTGCAAATAGCTGCATATTTTCTGATGATTGCTCATTGATATTATTTGGTGGTGACGATGAGTTCGTTTATGCTTATGACAATAATACTGGTCTTTCTGTAACAAGTTTCAAAACTTGTGGTTGTATCATTGCTCTTTTGAGTATTGCAGGTAAATATGCAGTCTGGATATTAAAAGCTGTCATGTTTGAATGGTTAGCATTATATCTTGGTTATGTGTTGCTTTGAGTACTGAAAGTTCAGGCATACTTTTTTATGTCATATGTGAAGAATGTTCATACTATTTTGTGCCTGTAAAAATCAAGAAATTTGTTTTAGGTGAATAGGACATGTAGCTTGCAGGGTTTTAGTTAGAAATGGTAAAGGGAAAAGCCCCCTTGGAAAACCTAGGCATAGATAGGTAGATAATATTAAATTGATTTTCTAGAAATAGGGTGGGAGTATGTGGATTGGATTCATCTGATTCAGGATAGAGATCAGTGGCAAGCTGTTGTGGACATGGTAAAGAAGTTGTAACCTATAGCTTTTGAATTACTGAATTCAGTGAAGTCTTCACAGGCAATCAGCCATGTCAGATGGCCATGTAAAACCAACATTTTGACAGCTGCCTCATTCCTTTTCATCATTTCCTTCCACATCCTTTCAGATTCACTGTCATAAGTAGCTGGTACTTAGGTCAGGTTGGTGTTGCAGTTCAAACACACTAAGTCTCACTCCAATCTACAGTGAATAATCATCTAGAGAATACAAAAACAAGGTCAAGGGAGTATGAATGCATTTAATTTTTTATTTTATTTTTGTACTAGTGGAAATGAAGGTAATTTCCATCCCCATATTCTGTAAAAATATTATGTGTGTGTTTTATTACAGATAATGAAATAGCTGTGGTAACAAATAATTCTGTTGGCCTTTTGAAGTGGGAAAGTGGAACTGAGCCGGACTCAATTATTAATGCTCAAGTTTTATGTAAGAACAGCTCACCTGATCTGACTCAAAGGAATAGAAAAGCTCTCTCTACATTAGAACAATCTGTAACAATGGACAATATCAAATATCAGGAATTTGGACATTCTACATGTACAAGTTATACATGTGCCGCTATGTCTCAGGACCTTCAGTTCATCATTGTGGGAGCTTCTGATTGCAGCATCAGTATCTGGAGTGTTGAAGAAGGCACACTGGTAAAGGACTATCAGAATCATAATGGGTGAGTTATCTTCCCATACTTTAAATATTGTGGTAGCATAACTGTATGATTCAACGTCATTGATACTAAAGCCCATCACTGAGCATGGCCATGATTAATTTTATTCACATAATCTATATAATTGTTTTTGAATTTGTTATCTTCTGAATTATAAATTAATAAAATTACATTTTAGTAGCTGGATTCTGCTTTCATTAGATAAAAGGGGGAGACAGGACAGAAAGTCTATCTCTTGGGCCCCCAGGTTTAGCTAACCTCAGACCTGGCTCAAGGACAGCATCAGCAGCACATCACAATCACAGGACATCAAAGCAGTACCACTCCTCCCAGCTAGCTGTACAGTAGTTTCATGAATATTTTAGACGGTTTTCAGTGTGTCAGTGTTGTATTATTTTATCTTTTTATTCTTTTACAATTTTTGGTATTGCCATATAAAGTCAACAGGTAATATCTGTCCTTTGGAAAGTGGTTGCATGTGCAAGTTAGTGTAGGTCTGAACATGACATTAATTGACAATCAAAACGTGTTCAAAGGTGACACCAGTAGCTACTTCAGTAATATAGTGCAGTAGTTGCTAGAAATTGTGTGAAAAGTAACTGAACATAGAACAGAATTATATTAAACACCAACAGGATGCTACATTAGAGAATTGAGTTCATATTAGATTTGTTATTGAATAATGGTTTTTCAGAATGCTAATTGGCATAAGGTAAAACACGGCCATTTAGTGACCTACAGTTCAGCAGAAATATGCATGACAAAAAATGACCTTAAAAATTTTAAAGACCCCCACTCGGCAAACCCTTGAGCGATATTCTCATGACCTCAACTTCACATGAGTGTGTCCATTCAGAGATCTACAGTTCGGCAGAAATAAGCATAAAGTGACCTTAAAATGACCCTGAAAATTTCGAAGGCCTCTATTCATCAAACGCTTGGGTTCATATTGTCTTAACCTTGACCTAACCATGACCACAAATTGATGTGAGTATGACCTTGTTTACATTAACTTGGAACACATTTTTAAAACTTGTCTAGTTTTTTGTGTGAGTAGATGTCCAGTTTCTGAGTTTTTTTGGTTTTGTTTTGGAAGAATTATTCTTATGGAAGTCCCTGGTACCAACATCAAAACATTCTTTATACAGTATTGTCTTTCTTTGTCTCTCTCTGCAGGCAGGTTAGGTGTTTGGACACATTCTGTGTAGGCAACTGCCAGCTGTTTCTCTCTGGTTTAGATGACAATACAATAAAAATATGGCTTATTGAACTAACAGAAACAGAACAAAAATCTAAACTGCAGCAAAACTTTGATGTACTCTGGGACAGAAATTCCTCAGATCCATGTATACATCTCCTAGCAGCTCCAGATAATAACAATAAAGTGCAGGTATAGTTCTGAATATTATTACATGGAATAGGTAAAAAGTGAAGAACACTTCGGATAGGAGTCGGTGATAATGAAGACTTTGGCAGAAGATACGGTACTTAAGATGAAGATGGTTGTCTTCGGGGTTGTTGCACAATGTAGTCTGGTAGAAGTTTACTGACGTTTCAGAGGTCCTTGCTGCCTCCATGCTCAGGGCAAAGCAGCAACCCAGAAGACAGCCATCTTCAGACTCACTGCCACAAAAACCTCAAATCTTAGGTACCATACTTACGAGGTGCGATCGGAAAGTTTCTAGACTGTGCCTATAAAAACCTGTACACTTATCTCAGGTATTAAATTCATCCATCACCCTCGAAGTAGTTCCCCAGGGAGTGAACACAACGATCCCAGCGCCGCTGCCAAGCCTGGAAGCATCTCTGGAAATCTTTCTTTGTCAGCCTGTCAAGCACCATCTGCGATTCTGCCTGAATCTCTTCTATCGTCTCAAATCTCCTTCCCTTTAGCTGAATTTTCATCTTTGGGAAGAGGAAGAAGTCACACGGAGCTTAGAAAGGAAGTTGGGGTCGGTTCTTGCAAGATCTTTGAGCTCCTGACAAACGAGAAGTCGATTCTGCTTCTGGTCCTCAGACAGGATGCGTCGCATGTGGAGTTCTTCCTTTAGAATCAGCTGACAGGTCCCATAGCCTATCCCAACAATGTCGCACAAGTCGTTATGGTACGACGTCGATCTTCGTGAATGGCCTGCCGAATCTTGGTAACATTTTCGGGCGTTGTGCTCGAAGATGGTCGTCCAGAACGCTCGTCATCATCGACAGGGGTTCGGCCATTTTTAAAACGTGAATGCCACACAAAAGTTTGCGGACTCCCCAAATGTTTGCTTTAGCATTTCATAGGTTTCCGTAGCGGTTTTGGCGAGTCTTTGGCAAAATTTGATTTGTTCATGAAAATCCGCCATTCCGAAATCGCAGGAGGGTCGGTGTAATGACCTACCAAAACGCCCGTAACTAAGAAACAAATGCTAATTCGATGATGCCGGCTGGCACACTGATTCACTATGAATGTAGGCCGCACCCCCTAGCGGCAGAAGCTCATACTACATCCGGTTTGCCCTCTATTGACACAGTCTTGAAACTTTCCGATCACACCTCGTACCTCCATATGGGTCGTACTTTTTATACCAGATGTTCTGACCAAAGAAATGTAATGCCACATACCTAGTTTAAACTGTTCTCACTCTTAAAATATTGTAAACATGACATTTTCTGTAGCATATTTTAATGTTGCTCCTTTAATTTAATATATGTGATGATGTTATGACTGTGGAAAATAATGTAGAAATTAAGAGGTCTAATGCAAAAGATATTGACAATGATGCAATTGGAAATAAAAAAGAGGCATTTTGATTGTGATGTGATCTTACATGAAATTTATGAAACCAAAAACATAAGTCATTTACAGAATTGAAGTAGCAAAATGTGCAAATGTTTGATAGAAAGAGTTTTATCTATGTGTGCTGTGACTTAGTTTACTACATATTTATTCTGATTTCAATTTATGGATATTTCAGATATGTCTCTGAAACATGAAGAACATTTGCCTTTAATATTAAAATTTATTGTATTTATTGTTTTGCCGTATTCTTCAGGTCCATCTCTCAGATATCTTGCAGTTTCTTACCATACTGCTGATATATTCTTTACTTTTTCAGTTGCTACAAGGAAGAAGTATTGTGACTGAAACTGACCCTGAAAAAGGGAAGGTCAAATCATGTAAGCTTTCTGATTGTGGTCAGTTTCTGCTGTATGGCTGCTGTGATGGATCAGTAAAGATGTTTGAAATCAAGAGCAAATCCACATCTGTCATAATTAAATTAAGTGGTGCTGTGCATTACCTTCAAGTCAGCAGTAATAGTTGTAGTAGTACCAATAGTCTCACTGTCATAGCTGGAGGTGAAGACAGCAGTTTAAAGGTATCTATTGTTACAACTGTTTTAATGTTGTCAAAACAAAGTAAAATAATGTTACAGTGAACATGCAAACTAACAATTTGCAGATGTGATATTCAAGATTTTCATGGCAGTGATGATTGATGATGATCTGAACTTTTTTGAGAAACATATTCTCTCCTTCATCAGTCCTGAACATCAACAAATTATAGATACAAGCTGCGGACTACACTAGATGTTGCTAACATACAGGAAACTACTTTGTCCATATTGTATGTACGTTAAATGATAGCTTACACAGCCGTAAGGCGTAAAAGATATATAGCAGTATTTGGTATGATGTATTCCTATCGGAAGTTAGATTTAAAAAGTATGTACTTCCATTTGGACTGCATGGTTGTGGAAGTAAGATTGGATGATTAAGAAATTGTGGCAAAGAAAATGTGTCCAAAATTACTTCTTGGAAAAGTTCTGGGTACAATATTGACATACTGGACTGTGAACC